TTTGTGAAGGTAAAATACTATCTAAGTGATGCTGTTTTCCTTCTGGCCCTCTAGGGCAGTAAGTGAATTAATGTGTAAGGTGTTTCCTTCTCTGGAGTTGCGGAAACTGCTATCAAGGAAAGTGAGATGCAGACAAGGAAAGGTAGATGCTAAAAATGTCAGAGAATTTTGGAGGTGGTGACAGCAGCCTTCTCCTTCACCCCATCTTTAATGACTCTCTTACCCATCATATTATGAGTTCTCCGTGTCTGTCAAGTTGTCTGTCAAGATTTGTTAATCTTTTGTTGTTGGCTTTCTGTTTGTGTTTGTTTTTTTGACTTTTTTTGTTTGTTTGTTTTGTTGTGGGTTTGTGGTTTTTTAAAAACTATTTCCAGATTAAATACCCGAGAAACCCGAGAGCAAACCTCAGCTCTTCCTAGTCTCCTCCTGTTGGAAACAAACCCCAGCAGCCTCGGTTCTTGGGCAGTTGCATGAGGCTCACGAGGAGTCAGTCCTGTCTGATAGACTGGAGTTAGAAACTGGAATGTGGTTTCTAGAAGGAAGGAAATTGTCCCCAAAACAGATGCCCATGGTGTACTTACTAATTATTGATGTTATGCTGGACTACTTCTTTGTTCTATTTCTAAATTGGAGAAAGAGGTGGAAATTTTAATTAAGGGGTAGGTAGGATCCTGTGATTCCTATTTAAAGACAGTTTAAGGTCAAGTAACCAGTCTGGTGACATAAATATATATAGAATCATGGAATCATAGAATTGTTAGGGTTGGAAAGGACCTTAAGATCATCTAGTTCCAATGCCCCTGCCGTGGGCAGGGATACCTTACGCTAGATCATATCACCCAAGGCCTCATCCAACCTGGCCTTGAACACTGCCAGGGATGGAGCATTCACAACCTCCCTGGGCAACCCATTCCAGTGCCTCACCACCCTAACAGGAAAGCATTTCCTCCTTATATCCAACCTAAACTTCCCCTGTTTGAGTTTTAACCCGTTACCCCTTGTCCTATCACTACAGTCTCTAATGAAGAGTCCCTCTCCAGCATCCCTATAGGCCCCCTTCAGATACTGGAAGGCTGCTATGAGGTCTCCACACAGCCTTCTCTTCTCCAGGCTTAACAGCCCCAACTCCTCAGTCTGTCTTCATACAGGAGGTGCTCCAGTCCCCTGATCATCCTCGTGGCCCTTCTCTGGACTTGTTCCAACAGTTCCATGTCCTTTTGATGTTGAGGACACCAGAACTGCACACAATACTCCAGGTGAGGTCTCACAAGAGCAGAGTAGAGGGGCAGGATCACCTCCTTCGACCTGCTGGTCACTTTCCTTTTGATGCAGCCCAGGATACGGTTGGCTTTCTGGGCTGCGAGCGCACACTGCCGGCTCATGTTCATTTTCTCATCAACCAACACCCCCAACCATTTGTATGCAACCATTTGTACTGAAAACAGTTCACTCATCTCTATACAGACACAATATCCTCAGTCTCATGTTATTTCATAACTGTGCTTCCATTCTAAAAGCCCAAGAATTAGGAGATCTTTAGCTGATTTTCCCAAAGCAACTATATCACTGCTGGGTTGTACGTTACTGATTTTACACCCTTTCACCCTGTCCAGCACAGGCCGGTTTGCAGGCTGTTAGCAGTACAGAGCCATTACTATAAACGATACAGGAGTAGTGCTCAAGAGTGATATTATCCTAAAAAATTGTATTCCCTAATGTAAATAGGTGGGTTTATTTTCCCACAAAAGAAGCTTTTGTAGGAAAGACTGGTCTCCTTGGAGAGACATGACACTTCCAAGCTCAGGCTGGCTGCTCTCTGCTGGGGCCATCAAGAAACAGTTGCCCAGCAGGGAACAGGGAAGGGTGGGTGACTGTTTTGTTGTTTTGGTGTTAGTTTTTAGATTAAGTGGATTTAGATTGAGACTAGCTCAGTTCATGTCAACAGAAACATCTGAGAACCTTGCTGGTGCAGGGTTTTTTCTGATTTGAAGGTGAGAACAAAACCGCAATGCCATTGCTGAGGAACACGCCATTTATGTAGTGTGTGCTTCAGGAAAAGACAGTTACAGAAGTACAAAACATATTTTGGTAGTGAATGACTCCAGTTGAAATTGTGCAATTGGAAACCTGCCTCTTTTATATTTAAACTAAACTTTACAGTTCCTTACCAAAAGCCCAGAAGCTGGAAAGGAGAGCAATCAAAGCTGCCAGCCTTCTTAGTTCTTGTCAGGAAGCCACCAGGCTCAAGCGCAGGCTGCAGTGGAGCAGGAGGAAAAAAGCTGCAGTAATTCCTATCTTGGTGAATTCATGCTAAACCTCAAGAAAGTAACTTTGGTCTGAGTTTTGATGTTACAAATCTGTGGGGAGTCTCTGTCAGGTAGATGTCTGTCTCTGTTTTGAGAAATCTACAGAAGTAAGTTTTGTTCTAGCATCTCAACAGGAGTGATAACTCCCAATTTTTCTCCTTGCTGGCCAGTGCTTGCTGAGTTTTGGTTTTGTGAGTTCTAACTGAAATTCTGTGATGTGCCCAAGATCAGGTTTTGTGATCACTTGTTTCTGAGGCTACGTGAGGCCTGGATCTCAGGTTTGTGTCCCATGAAAATCCAAGTACCCAACAATATCTAATCCCACTTGAAGTGTATATAGCTATTGCCCTATCTTTGCAAAAGAAGGAAATAGGGACTATTTAATTTCTGAAACTTGCACCTAGTATTACCTCAACCGGCCAGTTGTTTATTTCGTTAATTGTAACAGTATGTTCCTTCTTTGTCATCTGTGGGCGTTAAACATTTGCTAATTCATTCTCTAAGAAGAGTGCCAGTGTCTGCATGCTATCTGCCTTCCAATTTACTGCTTTTAATAAAGTCCTAGATGAATTATTCTAGCTTGGATAGCTCTGGGAGGCTGAGCTTGCTGCACTGTTGGCTGGCTGATCTTTTCTTTGAAATACTGAGATTCATAAACAGGAAGAAAAAAATTCCTGTCTCTATCCTCAAGTTGTTTTCAAGTCTGCCAATTTTCAAGGCAAGCAACATGGTAAAAATGTGGGTGGAGAGGTGAACATGTTCAGCAGGACACTTGTGGTGGAGGGCAGATTCTGAACTGGGAAATAGAAAATGTTGGGTGTGTCATCAGTGTTAATATCCCTTTGGTGAGAGGTCAGATGTCTCTTGCTGCAACTTTGTTTTGCAATGTGCTGTTTTGTTGGAGAGCTTGGTCATATTCCTACCTTTGAGACCTGTGTTTTTTATTTCAGGCTTTCCTCTGATCTGAGAACTGGCAGCTTACCCCATCTTAGTTTGGATCAAAAAATTGTCTTGTTTCAGGCGTAAATGATTTTTGAGCTACTTGCTTATATTTTTTTGAATTGAATTAAGTACTGTTTGTGTTGTGGTTATGCTGGGCTTGGTTTGGAGCAAATTAGATTTCATATATAGGATGAAGAGGACTAATTACAGAAAGAATGTGTCTGTTTATCTTGAGAAGAAACCCCTTAAAATTATTTGGAAAAAGCTAGGTTGTATGTCCAGGCTGGAGAGGACTTCGGGATGTCAACACTTAACTTAAAAGGTTTTGTTTGTGCAAAACCTGTGAATCTCAAACAGAAAGAAATTGCTAGTTTTTTGGCTCTACTGGCATGAAGGTGTTAACACAATGCGTGTTTTCTTTCTCCCCCCCCCCCCCCCCCCCCCCTTTTTTTTTCCCCTCTATCTTGGGCACTGGAATCTGGTTGTCTGATACAAAAGTACACAAATGTGCTTGCTGATTAGTTTAATGAGCATTGCTCTGTTTTCTTCCTGCCCCTTTGAAAAGTGTTATTTCATTAGTGAAATGAAAACAAGTATATTATACCCATTATATCTTGATTTCTTCAAAAAGGTTTAGATTTTAAAATTATTTTTATCTGGCTTATAGAAAGGTCTATTTTCAATTTTCCAAATGACAAATACAATTTTTAACAAGAACATTTTTAGCTCTCTTAAATGATCTGTTCTGTCTCAGTACTTTCTAGGATTTATAGGTCTTGGATTTCTGTTAGAACAAGGACAGGAAAAAAATATCTCTCTTTAAAATGGAATGTAATTTGGCTTGATTGAGCCTGGCTTTTGCTTTAATAAAGGAAAAATAATGTCTTTAAGCTCTACAGCAGATGAGATTTGTATCTTCAGTCTTGTATATCTGTTTTCTCCAGATGGGAGAACAAATATAAAGTTGAATAATACCTCAAATCCTAGAACATAATTTGACTGACAGATCTGCTGCCGCTGATGGAGTGGTGGGGAGATGACCTCGCTTCTGTCACTGTGTGGCAACGATCACAATGTATTTTTTTGGTATCAAACCCCATAGTGTTAATGTAATCATTTACTGGGGGTGGAAGGGTTGGGAAATGACTGTAATACAGCATACAGACTCTATAAAAATAATTGTGTACTTGATGTCTACTGAACACAAGCATAATTGAAATGGCTTTTCACTTTATTTTCTGAATTAGGTTATGAACATACTGTTGAATGAGGACTTTTTGCTGTTTTTTTTCTAACTTAGAGGCCATCTCTATTGTTGAAATGAATTTTGTGATAGTCAGTGCTTGTGCATGGGGAACTGCAGGTCTGTGATGCAGCGCAGAGAGGGAGAATATAAAGCACGCTTTGCAGTGTCTCTTGCATGCCCAAGCTGTTGTAGTCCAGCAGCAGCTTGTAACATCTGCCCTGTTTGGGAAAATGCATGCACTGCAGTATATAGATCCTCTGTTCCACTTACTCTGCATGGGTGTTTTTCAATGCAGATGATTTTTAAGGATTTAAACTGAAAGGTGGCTGTTTGGGTCACTCAGTCACTTGTGCTTGTCTGATTCCCAGGCTCCTGCTGCTGCAGAGGGCAGTTGTGTAGGTTTCTTCTGGTAACTTGTACCTTTGAGAGCTCAATAGTGTTCATTAATCCCGCCCTGACTTGTCATAAACAAAAACTCTAATACCCAATTTGTTCTTGTTTTGCAGCTTGCCTGAATTCTGCAGTGATCTGTGGGGGTGCTGGTGTCCAGGACTCCAGAACTTGGTGCTCTGGTACTGGCTTTCCAACAACGAGCTGGGGAGAATAAGTAACCTGCTCCATATTTGGGGATCCTCTGGGCTGGTGGGGCTCTTTCTGCACTTTTCTTGTCCCACATCTCAAACACTGAAGTCTCAGATTTCTCCCAGCAGAGAGACCACGTCCAAGGTACCTGTATTTCTATGTAATATTTACACTGTTTATTGTGATGCTTGTTAACAAAGGTGCTCTAGATCTTCCAGCACTCCAGCCAGAGCAGTTCTTAGTTTATCCATTCATGCAGTATTTGTGCAACTTGCTCTGCCACCTCACATGAGAAAAGGCTGTACTCAACAGGGGTGTTTCATAGTAGTGCTGTTCCTCTGTGGTGTCAGTAATACTCTCTGTTAATTCAGACACCTGTGTTGGATTTCAGTGTTTTGTGCAGCAGAAGTGCAGTCTCCTGCAGTGTGTTCACATGGTTTTCTGTGGGCCTCGGAGTGGGAGGGAGGCCTACAGCAGCGGTTGCTTTGTGGTACCAGCTGAGACCACCTGTGTGTATGGATTATCTGGTGGCATACTCCCCAGCAGTTTCTGGTGCCACGGTTTTCCTTCCTTTCATTCTCATTTGACCTTACAGGCACGTAAGGTCACACAGTAACTGGCAATTAAGGTTCACAGTAACTGGCAAGCCACAGGGCTTCTCATCTTCAGAAATGAGATAGTAAGAGGTCTGGCATTTTCTGTCCATGAAGAAAGTACTGTTAACTGGGGATGTGAACTAAGCATGTCTGTAGGCTTGCCTATGCTGTACAAACCGTTGTACTGGCAGAGCCCCATGGAGAAACTGCACTGTTAGGTAGATGCAGGAAGTTTTCCTATCAGGATTGCTTTTCTGCCTTCTTGAAATACAGCAGCACTCTTCTGGATATTTGCTCATGTGATCCTTACAAGGGTGTTATTTTGTACAGTCCTAATTGATGGAGGTGAGCTGGCAGAGCTTTCAGAGGTATCCCAGCTGTATAGCCACCAGGCAAATCTTATACGTGCTTCAAGTTCTTGCTTTACATGAGGGGTGCATAGATGCAGACTCTTATCCTGTAAGTTTCCTGTTTGGATGGTTAATTCAAATACAGAGAGGATATAAATTCTGATACCTAGCTGAGGCATTGATTTCAAAAAGGATCTTTCATGCTGCATATAACTTTCCCTAGAGAATTCCTTCTTTACAAAGGACTTCACATCCTGAGGAATTTCAGAGGTTTTGTGGTTAGGTTCCCGTCCCCATTCCATCTTGGCTCCCAGATGAAGCTACAGTGTGGTGAGATCTTTCTTATTAAAGCAGTCTTTGGGCAAAGAGAATGATTGGACTCCAGCCACAGCTAATATCATGTTGGTGTGCAGCTGTGAGACACACTAGTTTTAGCCAGTGCAGTTAAGATGGCTCTTCAACCCTGAACCCTTACATAAGCCTTTGTCTTGCTTGCTTTTGTTTTTGTCTTCATACTTTTTGTGTATGTTAATCAAGCAGATCTGGTGGTCTGTAATACACAGGAGACTGGGCTTGTGATGCGACTTTTCTTTCCAAGTTTTTTTCGGTTTCTGTACCTACTTGACAGAGCCTCAATTCTTACATAGGAACCAAGCAGTATTCTGCTAAAACAGAAGAATAGAGTTGTCATGGAAATTATTAATTTGTTTCATATACTAAGTCACTCGCATGTCTTTTCTTCTTATTTTTTTTTTCTCTTTTCTTCCCTCTTGGTCCTTTCCCTTTCACTGGGAATAGCCTGTAAGTCCTCTTGCTGTCCTGCGTAATTTTATGTATCAGTGAATGAGTCTCAGAATTTCCCTTACGTCAGATTCCAGTGTTTTCCTTGGGAAAAAGCTATTGGGTTGAAGTCCTTCACCTTAATAGGACCAGTCGCCCTAGTTAATCTCATTCTGCTTTGCTGCCATATCTTCCTCCAAAGGCCTGTCCATCAACGCGTTCTTTGGGTGAATTGCTTGCTATGTGGTGCTTGACTGGCTCTCAGGAAGCACTCTGCCAGGGCATGGTGCAGCCAGTGCTGTGGTGTTAGGTAGGTGTCTTGCAGGCAGCTTTGTGAGACCATCCCTGCTAATCTTTAACCAGCATTTTAATGGCTGGCCACTTTGAAGCTTAGGTCATTGTTTAGTGCACTTGAAACTCCTCACCGCAGCTGCTCAGGGAGGATACAGCTTGCCAGGTCCTAGCTTTTTACGTTGAAAGGAAAGGTTACTCATTTTGTGATAACTCTGGGTTTTGGAGGTAATGGAGTCAGTGGGGGTTCAAGTACCTATCGCTGTTTTTCACAGTCTTTTAGCAAGCCTTGCAGACAAGGCATGAGAGTCATGCTCCGAGTGGAGCTGGTGATCATCACATCATTTCATTCACAGATGCTGTAGCATAGACTAATTCTTTTTCAAATTTCACTTTTCAGATTAACACTTATGTTTAACATGTCTACAGAATACATTTTAAGAGTGGAAGTCCGTGCCAAGAGCAAACTCTGTGTGGACACAGCAATAGCTCAGGTTATCCTTCAGGTCACATCAGCGTCTTCCTCCATGCCCCAGTGGGGTCTCTGCTTCTCTACTGCTAATAACAAGAAAGTTCAGTTTTCACAGCTGTTCTGGTATTTCTGCTAAGACAGTCATTTCTGTTGTGTGTGTTCTCTGTTAGGGGTTGAACCAGAATCAACAATTTGTTTCATAGCCTAGTAGAAAATTCATGGTTGCTGTCACCTCAGGATGTATTGGTATTGGTGACTGCTCTTTAGTTAATCAGTTTCTTAAGAGTAATTTAAAACTTTGGCTACAAAGGAATAAGGTTGGTTGAACCTGAATTTCAGGCCCAAATGTGGCCCAAAAGACACACATTCTGTGATACTTTGTAGAGAGCCTGTAGGAGTTTGATGAGTCCCATTCTGGTTTACTAATTCAGCCTGTTTTGGTGCTGAAGTCATGAGATATCTATAGTGCTTGTTGCTTGGCAAATATGGTTGCAGTATCTCCATGGTAGCTCTCCAGTAGTGTGTTGCAGGCCCTGATAGAAGCTGTCAGAAAGTTTCTGCTGTGTTATCATCACTTAGGCCTGGAGAGAATAGCAGCTTGTTTGTGGAAGATGTTATTCACAAAATCAGACTAATTCTCTGGTGCCTGATTTGGTTAATAATATTAATAGGTTGTGAAGGAAACCCTGGAGGAACTTCTTAAATTGCAGTAGGTGAATGGAATAACCTATGCTTCTGCTCCCAGTGTTGTCATCATTCGTCAGTACCTTTTGCTGCTGGTAACAGCAGCAGCAGATATAGTGCTGGGTAGTGTGTGGTATGGTTCAGCCTGTTTTACTACCTTAGTATATCCTACTTTCAAAAATAATTACATTTCTTGCTATATTGATAGCAATTGTTCTTGCAAACCAAGGATATAGCTCTTGCTGTGGGGGAGATTGTTGTGGAGAGGGAAGACCTGAAAAGAAATAATTGAATCTTGTCTGGTTGTTTATCTTGAGCTGATAGTTTATTGTCCCCAGACTCATCTTGTTTGTCAAATATTGGGAAGTGGTACCATGAGGTAGAAATTAACAGTATTTTAGAAAATGTTAAATAACATTCTTTTTAAATGGAGCGCTGCAGTATTTGACATGGTTATTCCTGGCTCAGTCAGGATTAGGAAGCATCAGACACATGACAGATGTTTAATTATTACAAGAATTAGGTCTTCCTAAGAATAAGTTCTTCCATCAAGAAAGGTGAAACTCCTCTGTGATAACTGCAGATAATGAACTGTACCTTAACTTGTGACTCAGTTAAGTTTTTCTTTTTGGATGCTGAGAATCCTTTCCACTACACTGTTGCAGAAAAACATGACACGTGGCACATCAGCTTTAAGGAACAATTTATGCTCTATTGCAGCGACAGTCAATACAGTTTGGGTTGTGAATGAAGAGGGAAGGAGGTTATTCATTATTAGCTATTAATGTTATTCATTATTAGCTTTGAGGAGAGAATCAAAGCTTCAGTAAGAGCCTGTCTCAAAAATACTCTTCTGTTATTTATGCACATGATTTTAGTGACTAACACTAATATAAAACTGTATTCAGATGAAGGGTGGGGATGGGGAGGAGAATCAAAAGAATGTAACTCCTGTGGGTTGACACAAGAACAGTCTGGTAAAAAAGGTATAACGCAAATCACTACTGCTACCACCAATAATAATAATGGTAAAGGAAATAACAAGGAAAGGGAATACAACCGCTCACCACCCGCCGACCAATACCCAGCCCAACCCGAGCAGTGATCTAGGCCTTCTGGGTAACTGCCCCCAGTTTATATACTGGGCATGAAGTGCTGTGGTATGGAATACCTCTTTGGTCAGTTTGGGTCAGGTGTCCTGTCTCTGCTTCCTCCCGGCTTCCCCTCCTCCCTGGCAGAGCATGAGGCTCAGAAAGTCCTTGGTCAGGGTAAACATTACTGAGCAGCAACTAAAGAGATCGGTGTTACCAGCGCTGTTCCCAGGCTGAAAGTCAAAACCACAGCAATGCACCAGCTACTAAGAAGGAGAAAAATGACTGCTACTGATGAACCCAGGACAAAAGGAGAGGTTTCTTTTGTGTGCTCTGTTTGGATGCTACAGCATTGTTGTCTATGGAGTTGCTCATGACTTTCAATGTATTTTTCCTTCATATCCCTGTGGGTTAAAAAAACAAAACAAAACCCAGTGGGCTGAATTGTTTTCTTGCCAGAAATGTAAATGAGTTGCTTGCTTCCTACATCTAAGACTCTAGTCCTTCCTTCAGCAGCAAAAGAAATATGCTGCTTATGTTTCTAGAGCTGTAACTGTCCAGTTTATGGCAAATTGAGACATTCAGCTGTGCTTGGTAACTGCACCTAGAAAAAGGGGCTTTTTAAAGAAGAAAAAAGAATAGTAGTAATTAAAATCCTGAATCATACCTCAGAAATAGTTCATCTGCTTTCAGTTATTCTTGGGCTTGATTGCTTCAGAGGAGCAAGAAGGCCAAGAAATTCTGCAGAAGGCAGAGT